ACAAGCAGTAAACATAAACAAGTGACTTCTGTCCTGTGTCAGCAGGCGTCAGTGCCAGGGAGACTGGGAAGTTGGGGCGCAAGTCTCAGGGCTCAGGTGGACCTCATTCACAAAGACAATGAATCTGAGCAAAGAGTTGGAGTAGATGAAGGAGGTAAGTCATATGTAGGGGCAGAGGATTCCGGGTAGAGGGAACAGGCAGTGCAAAGTCCGGAGAGTTGGAGTGAATCTGCTGTGCTTAAAGGACTGCCAAGGGGTCCGAGGAGCTGGGCCAGAGGGTATGGAAGGCAAGTGGGAGGAGGTGAGTGAAAGGGAAGAGCTGAGCAAAAGAGGGGTCCTATGGGGAGTTTGGAGCAGAGGAGTGACACCATCTGACTTGTCTTTAATAGGCTCCCACTGACTGCTGTTGAGAACAGACTGTTGGGGGCAAGGGAGGAAGTGAGGAGCCTAGTTAGGAGGCGACTGCAAAAACCCAGGAGAAGGGGGTGGGTGGCAGTTCAACCCAGGTGGTAACAGTGGTAGTGATAGGATCTTGGAATCTGGAAATATGTATTTTTTTAATTTTTTTCTTCATTTTTCTTTATCTTCTTTATTGAGGTTCTGGATATATTTTGAGGTTAACCGTTAAGATTTCCTGGTGGAATTGCAGGGGCCAGCTCAGGAGTTCAGTTTGGGTATGTTGCATTTGAGAATCTGACATCATGGGGGTTGACAGTCAGGAGAGAGGAGCTGGTGGGAGGAGAATCATAGGTGTGGAGGTGCAATGCAGGTGTTGAGCCTGGGGAGCCCTGGGGGTGGGGTAGGTGAAGGTGGAGCAAGGGCGGGATAATGGGGAGGAAGGAGTGACCTGCATATAATGGGGAGGAGGGGGTGATGCTGACTCATCATGGGGAGGAGGGAGTGGTCCTGGTGGATCGTGGGGAGGGGGGAGTGTTCCTGATGGATCATGGGGAGGAGGGAGTGTTCCTGGTGGATCATGGGGAGGAAGGAGTGTTTCTGATGGATCATGGGGAGGAGTGAGGAGGGGAGGAGGGAGTGGTTCTGGTGGATCACGGGGAGGAGAGACTGGTCCTGGTGGATCGTGGGGAGGAGGGAGTGACCCTGGTGGATCATGGGGAGAAGGAAGTGGTCCTGGTGCATCCTGGGGAGGAGGGACTGGTCCTGGTGGATCACGGGGAGGAGGGAGTGACCCTGGTGGATCATGGGGAGGAGGGAGTGGTCCTGGTGCATCTGGGGGAGGAGGAAGTGGTCTTCAGTATCCTGGGCTGTGAGGTCCGAGAAGCAAGGATGAGGAACTGCCATTGGGCTCAAGGTCAAGGCTGTTGGTGATATGGAAGAGGAGGTTCTGGGGTGTGGGGGTGGAGAGAGCCAAAGCATGTTTGAGTAGGTTTAAGAGAAAATGGGAGAAAAGAAATTGGAGGTGGTGAGTACAGATACCTCTGTCAACGATGTTTGCTGCAAAGGGGCAATTGATGGTTATTTATTCACGTTTTTGTTTTCGTTTTGTTTTGCTGAGGAAGATTCCTCCTGAGCTAACATCTGTTGCAAAGCTTCCTCTATTTTGTATGTAGGTCACTGCCACAGCATGGCTGCTGACGAGTGGTGTAGGTCTGCGCCCGGGAACCGAACCTGAGCTGCTGAAGTGGAGCGCGCCGAACTTAACCACTAGTTAGCCCCTTCGTATGTTTTTTAAGATGCGAGAAATGACAGCCAGTTTACGTGCTGATGAGACTAACCCCTTAGAGAAGAAGAATGATGTAGAAGAGAGACCTTGTGGAGAGTGTGGAGTCATTGAGCACATGGAGGGCAAGAGGGCCAGGCCTGTGCTGTCCACGTGGGCCTGCAGAAGTACTCTCCTGATCCTTTTCTTAGAGAAGTAGGAAGCAGGTTCTCCATGGAAAATGAGGACGGGGGAGGAGATACTGGAGGTATGGGGAGCAGAGAAGGTGTGAAAGGGCGACCAATCATTGAGATGTTGAGATGGCCAGGCAGGAAAAGGAGGCCGGTCACAGTGTTTTCCTCTGGGAGTGCTTAACTGTAGAGGTCTAGATGTGGACATGGAATGGGGGAGCAAGTGCTGGGTTAATCACGGTGTTGGTTTGCCAAGGAAGTGAGGTCTGAGGGATTCCAGGGCATTATGGAGTAAAACGCTTATTCCCCCTTTCAGAAATAAAGAACCTGAGGCCAGATGGTGAGTGGTGAAGCCCACGTTTGTGCTAGTCTGGCTGGAGTGTGGTGTGTGAGGAGGAGCTGGCACTGCGGGACCTGGAGAGCCAGGGTCTCAGGGTGGATTTCAATCTGAGAACTTGGGGCCTTGCAGGGGCTTGGACAGTGGGCAACCTCATCCAATGGACACTTTGGAACACTTTCTGCCTACTGTTGGAAGATGGAGTGTGCATGTGATTGTGTGTGTATGTGTGACTGTGTGTCTCTTTGTGTGTGTGCATTAGTATGTGTGTGTCTGTGTGTGAAGGGGGCTGTGGTGGTCCAGGAGTGCCTGATGGTGGCAGGACCCCCGTGTTGGGACTGGGTGCATTCTGAAGGTGGAGCTGGGAGGGCTCCCTGTTTTCTGGCTGGACTGTGATGTCTGGAAATGGGGGGCTGGTGGTCATCCCAGGGGGCTCCCTGAGGCCTTTGTGCAGGGACAGCAGTGTCCCTCAGAGGTAGAAGAAGAGTTGCAGAACCTTGGGCTCCAGGCTGGCTTGTCAAATGCTGAGCTCATGGATATGAGAGTGGGGAGGTGACTTTGAGCACCGTGCAGCTGGAAACAAAGGCAGCTTGGTTGAATGCAGAGCCTGAAGTGAGATGAGTGTTCCAGTTTGGAACCATGTATAATTGCGATGTTTCAGAAACATCAAGAGTCATGATCCTTCCCACAGTGGGACACTATGCTCTAGAGAGTGGGCTGGCGTGTCCGTGTCTATGTGTGTGTAGATTTGTGTGCACACATAGATGCGTGTGTAGATGGAGATACGCAGAGATGGCCAAAACATACAAAGTGAAAGAAGAAAAAAGGAAAATATACTGGTTCACGATGTATGTGGTAGGACCTCCTTTTTTATTTACTTTTTATTTTTTGTGACGAAGATCAGCCCTGAGCTAACATCCATGCTAATCCTCCTCTTTTTGCTGAGGAAGACTGGCCCTGAGCTGACATCTGTTGCCAATCCTCCTCCTTTTTTTTCTTCCCCAAAGCCCCAGTAGATAGTTGTATGTCATAGTTGCACATCCTTCTAGTTGCTGTATGTGGGACGCGGCCTCAGCATGGCTGGAGAAGCAGTGCGTCGGTGAACGCCCGGGATCCGAACCCGGGCCGCCAGTAGCAGAGCGCGCGCACTTAACCGCTAAGCCATGGGTCCGGCCCAGGACCTCCTTTTTTAAATTGAGAAGAATGTGTGGTTTCACATGTGCTAACGTGTGCATAGACTTTTCTGGAAGGAAACAGGAGACGGTTTGCAGTGGGGTCTCTGCTGGAATCCATAGCTCTGTTCAAACTTTTATTAATTGATTTATTTTTATTTGCAGGGAAGATTTGCTCTAAGCTAACATCTGTTGCCAATCTTCCCCCTTTTTTCTTCCTTCTTCCCCCCTAAAGCCCCAGTACATAGTGTGTATAGTTGTAAGTTCTTCTCTGTGAGCCTCTGCCACAGCATGGCTCCTGACAGAGAGTGGTGTGGTTCCGCGCCCGGGAACCGAACCCCGGGGTGCCGAAGCAGAGCACACCCAACTTGAACCGCTAGGCCATCAGGGCTGGCTCTAAAACTTCTATTTTTTAAAACGATATCCACAGACTAACCTGCTGTTTCCATTTTCTTCTTTATCCTTCTGAGTGAATGCACCCTGGAGATGTGTGAGTTATTCAGAATGGGGGTGGGGTGGGAAAGGGAAGAATCGCCACCTCAGCACTGGTGAGGAATGCCTGGTGGAGGCCTGACAGGGATGGGGCCGTGGCAGGGCCAGAGGTAGATAGGAAAGTAGCCTAAGAACAGCCCAGGCCGAGGTGGTGAGTGGATGGTGCCCAGAGGAGGCTCAGAGCTAGGCCTCTGGTCCCAACATGGTCCGTCGTGGCTTGTGCCTCTCTCCTTAGCAGCTCGCCCAAGACCACACAGCAGGCAGGCCTGGAGCTGACAGGCCAGAGCCCGGCTTTCCGCCCCATGCGGTACTGCCTCTGGGGTAGGATCGCGTGTCTGCTGTAGAAGGGCCACTGGCATCCAGATCTTACTACTTCCAGCTTCACTGTACGATGTGGAGCCGTGGATATTCTGCTCTGTCTGATTGGTGGTTCTCATCTCAGACGGTGTGGTTGTTTTGTAATGTAAATTGTATCATGTTTCTCCCCTGCTTAAAATCCTTTAGTGGCTTTTGTACTTAGGACAAAATTAAGAATCTTAATGTTTTCTCTGAGGCCTGCGACTCTGGAGCCCCCTGTCCCCAGTGCACTCAGCCACCTTGTCCTCTCTCTGATGCTGTGTCCACTCCTCCTCCTCAGTGGGAGGCTCCTGCTAGCTCATGTGGCTCATGCTTTCTCCCCTTTGACGTCTCAGCGAGTCCACCTTAGAGATGAGGCCTTTTCTCAACCAATTTAATGTAGGTCCTTCCTCATAGAACTTGATTCCTTTATAGCACTCACCAGAATTTATAATTGTACACTCATTTCCACTTGTTCCCTGTCTCTCTGTGTCCTTTGGAGTGTAGGGCAGGGGGCGTGTCACTGTTGTTCATCACCATCTGCCCAGAGCCTAGGACAACACTGACACATAAGTGCAAAATAGATATTTTTGGAATGAAGTAATGAATGCATAAGTAGAAAAAGTAAATAGTGGAAGAATTAATGAGATCCATCAGGGATTCCAGCTACTGCCATACATAAAGTTATTTTAATGATGGAAATAAGTGTCACAGCATTCAGAAGTGACAGAGCTTGTTGGGGTGGGTGACTCTAAGCACTGCTTCTTAAAGGGTGGATGGTTTTGGTTAGACAGGAGAGGAGAGAGCCGTAGGTGGGGAACAAGCACCCAGGTAAGAGGGGGAGTTGCCAAGTGGGAGGCATAACTGGGGAACAGTTAGCAAACTTTCTCTTGGAACAGAGTAGAAGTGGGAAAAGAGCCTGGACCGAGATGCTAAGGCAGGCACCCTCTCGAGCTGTGCTGTCACTAGCCTCAGCACTAGCCTCACTTGGCCATCAGCACTGAGACTGAATGTTAAATGTTATTTAATCTTAATTAATTTACATTTAAATAGCCACAGAGGTGAGTGGAAACTGTTTTGAACAGCGCTGTTCCAGAAGATGCTAGTGAAAGGAGTGTCCCTTTATTAGGGGGGCACTGTTGAATATTTATCATGGTTTATCATCATGAGGTGACATCGGCTGGCCTTTTGGGAGGTTCTTGAATCTGGCAGTGGGGGTGAGATGGGTTGGGGAAGGGAAGGCTGAAAGCATGGAGGGTCTTCTGTTACTTAACCAGAGGCTGGCAAGAGGGCATTCAGTCCTGAATGTGCACAAGAGGCCATGAGGCTGTGGGAGCTGGTTGCTGGTGGCTGATGCCGAGGCCCGTGGATGAAATGGGCAGTGGCAGGGACCTGGGAGAGCAGGAGGGGTATGGGAGCATCCCACACCTCTGAGCCTGCGGGGCAGAGCAGTGTCGTACCACGGACAGAAATAGATTCGTGATGCAAGTGTGTGGGGTGATTGGGAAAGAGATCTGGGGAGGAGAGTTCTATTGTGAACACCATCCAGGACAGGTCCACCTGGCATTTGGATTAGAGGTTGTCAGGCAGAGATTTGGGACTTAACTACAGAGAGATTATAGTGGGAACTGTGGGAACAGAACCAGGAGTTCAGTGGATTGAGTGTTGAGGGAAAACAGCCTTGGGATGTCCCGCATTTGGAGGGGCATGAACAGGTGGAGCCTCGAGGCAGTCAGGGAAGGTGGGTGAGATAAACAGACTAGCTCAGTGCCCGGGGGAGGGAGTGTGGTTGGCGAAGTATGACCATCCACAGCTGGAGCATTTAAGCCAGAGAATGAGCCAAGGCCAGAGGATTCATCAGAAGATTGTCTGGAATTCTCTGATCTCTTGGTTTAGACCTCACAAAATATTCTGAAAAGTGTCTTCCGTTTAGACTCATGAACTTTGAACTTTGACTTAGTGATAACACTTGTCTCTCCACACTTAGATCCTAGGGCTGGTGATGATGGGCTGGTGATGATTGAAAAGGAAGCATTCATTAGCCCCAAAGATAGTTTGTTGTAATTGAACAGGACTCAGTGGAAATACAAAGTTGAACTGTGTGATATTGCAGTTTTTGTAGGTTGGAAAAAATGTTGAAAAATGGCAATTCCACATGATTTTATCTATTGTATAAAGAAAGCATTCTTCAAATGAGCAGCTTTGCAGCACATGTAGGGCGTTATGTGTTGTTTCCCTCCCAGCCTTCGCTGTGTTAATCTAGTTATGCTTGTTGCACTTGCCCTGCCTGGGTCAGCGTGTTGCTAGTTATCTGGATATCTGCCCTTTGGCGATAATCATCATATCCCACACTTTTGTCTCCCCTCCTTCCTTTACAAATGTATAAATTATTAATTACTGTCTCTGTTGGGTTTCCTGGGAAGTAGACTCTGAGATGGAGATTTGCAGGAAGTTTACTAAGAGTGCTCTTGGGAACCACATCTGTGGGGAGAGTGAAGGGCCTGGGGTTGGACAGAAGGACAAATTGAAATGTGACACCTTAACGCTATTGAGCCTTCCAATCCATGAACTTAGTATACTCTCAAATCCTCTTAAATTTCTTTCATCAGTACTTTGTACTACTCGGTGTACATATTTTGCCAATTTATCCCTAATATTTATTAAATACTAAAATTTATCCCTATATTAATATTTAATTTTTTAATATATACAATCATTTCGTCTGTGAATAAAGATAGTTTTATTTCTTCCTTTCCAATCTGAGTGCCTTTTATTTCTTTTTCTTGCTTTATTGCACTGCCTAGGACCTCCAGTAAAATGTTATACAAAAGTGGTGAGAGTGGATTTCCTTCCTTTGTTATTGATCAAAAGGAGGGAAACATCCAGTCTTTCACTATTTAGTATTATATATATAGCTATAGGCTTTGTATATATACTCTTTATCAAGTTGAGGTAGTTTCCTTCTATTCTTACTTTGCTTTGAGTTTTTATAAGAATGAATGGTGGATTTTGTTAAATGCTTTTTCTGCTTCTATTCTGATGATCATATTTTTTTTCTTTTTTAGTCTGTTAATATGGTTAATTACACTGATTAATTTTTGAATGTTAAACCAACCTTGCAATCCTGGGATAAATCCCACTTGGGTACGATGTGTTATCCTTTATAGCTGGATTCAATTTGCTAAAATTTTAAAAATTGTAAGGATTTTTTTTTTTTTTTTTTGCTGAGGAAGATTTGCCCTGAGCTAACATCTGTTGCAAATCTTCCTTTATTTTTTTTTTTGTGAGGAAGACCAGCCCTGAGCTAACATCTGATGCCAATCCTCCTCTTTTTTTGCTGAGGAAGACTGACCCTGGGCTAACATCTGTGCCCATCTTCCTCTACTTTATATGGGATGCCACCACAGCATGGCTTAACAAGCGGTGCGTCGGTGCGCACCTGGGATCTGAACTGGCGAACCCCGGGCCGCCGCAGTGGAGCGCGCATACCTAACCGTTTGCACCACCGGGCCAGACCCCAAATCTTCCTCTCTTTTGTATGTGGGTTGCTGCCACAGCATGGCCATCAACCAGCAGTATAGGTCTGCGCCCGGGAACTGAACCCGGGCTTCTGAAGCGGAGTGCGCCAAACTTAACCACTAGGCCACTGGGCTGGCCCAGGATTTTTTAAATCTATGGTCATGAGGGCTAATGGTATGTAGTTTTTTTGTAATGTCTTTGTTTGGTTTTGATATCAGTATAATATTGGCTTCATAAAATGAGTTGACAAATGTTTCTTCTAGAAAGGAGAAGTGGAGGAATTTGTATAGAAATGTTATTTGTCTTGAATGTTTAGTAGAATTCACCAGTGAAACCATCTTGGTCTGGAGTTTTCTTTGTGAGAAGGTTTTTAACTATAAATTCAACTTATTTAATAAATATATTGGCTAGTCAAGTTATCTATTTCCTCATGAGTGACCTTTGGTAGTTTGTGTTGCTCAAGGAATTTGTCTATTTAGTCTAATTTGTTAACTCTAATGGCATAAAGTTGCTAATAGTATTCTCTTATTATCCTTTTAATATCTTAGATATTAATATCTGTAGTGGTATCCCCTTTTTTGTTCCTGAGATTTTGTTAGTTTGTGTCATCTCTTTTTTTTCTGATCAGTGTTGCTAGAGGTTAAACCATTTCATTGATCTTTTCAAATAACTGGCTTTGAGTTTAATCAAGTTCCTCTATTTTTCTGTTTTCTATCTTGTTAATTTCTGCTCTTGATTTCCTTCTGCTTACTTTGAGAGTGGCTTACTTTTGATATTTTGTTCTTTTTTCTAGTTTTTAAGGTGGAAGCTGAGATAATGATTTTAGTTCTTTTATCCTACTTTATTTAATACATTTACCTGTAAAGCACTGCTTTAGCTGCATAGAGCAAATTTTGATTTATTGTATTTTCATTTTCCTTCAGTGTAATATATATTCTTTCCTTTGCCCCTTCTTCTTGGCCGATGTGTTATGTAGCAGTATGTTGTTAAAGTTCTAGATATTTGGAGATATTCCACTCTCTCTCTATTATTGGTTTCTAATTTAATTCTCTTGTGTTCAGAGAAGATAGTCTGTATGATTTTATTACTTGAGACTTTTCGGCCCAGGATATAGCCTATCTTGGTGAATGTCCCTGTGCAATTGAAAAGAATGTGTATTCAGCTGCCGTTGGGTAAAGTGTTTCATAAATGTCCGTTAGTTTAAGTGGCTTGATAGAGTTGCAGTCTTATATATATACTTAGACTAAATTTTGAATTTGTCTCTTACTCCTTTCAGCTCTGTACTTTTTGTTGCTCATGTGTTTTGAAGCTCTTTTGTTAGATGCATATACACATTGAGGATTGTTACATATTCTTAATGAATTGACTCTCTTTATTCCTGGTAATATCTCTCATCCAGAAATCTGCTTTATGTGATAGTATATAGGCTCTTGGCTTTCTCACGATTGGTGTTTGCATGGTGCATGTTTTCCCTCCTGTTACTTTTATCTCTATCTTTACGTTCATAATACCTTCCTTTAATGGCGTTTCCTTGGGTCTTACTTTTTTCTCCAGACTGACAATCTCTTGCCTTTTAATTGGAGTCCTAAGACCATTTGCACTTAATGTCATTGTCAGTATGGTTTGCTTTCTATTTGCCTCATCTCTTTTTTTCCCCTCTCTTTTACTTCATTCTTTCAGATTAATTATTCAGGTTTTACTATACTGTTATCTCCATCGTTGGCTTATTTGCTCTACCTAATTGTTACAGTTTTCAGTGGTTGCTGTAGGGTTGACAATGATGAGAATGTGCCACTTCACACAGAATGAGAGAACCTCCAACAGTGTACCTCTCTTTCCTTCCTCAAGCTCTGTGCCTGCTGTTGTACACTTGACTTTGGCATCTGTTCTAAACCCCTGATGCATTATTATTATTCTGCTATAAGCAGTCAGTTATCTCATAAAGAAATTTTAAAATGAGGAAAAAAGTTTATTTTCTTTCTTATTTGCCATTTCTGGTACTCTTTTACATTTGTATATTCAAGTTTTTATCCAGTATCATTTTCTTTCTGCTTGAGGAAATTAATATTTCTTTTAGTGTAGGTCTCTTGGCAACTAATTCTCTCATTTTTGTTTCTCAGGAAAAAAATCTTTGTCTTCATTTTTGAAGAATATTTTAACTGGACATGGAATTCTAGATTGATAGCTTTTTAGTTTGGGGATTTTTTTTCTTTTTCTTTAGTGTTTTAAAGATGCTGTTCATTTTCTTCCATTGTACATGACTTCTGATGAGTTTTTTCTCATTGGTTTTAATAATGATGAGCCTTGATGTG